GTTATGAGTTTTGCGTTAAAAAATCTTACAAGTTTATAAGTTTGAACGGCTTTTTTATCTAGTAAAACTAATTTTTTTGAAATATATTCTTTTTATAAACTTGTCTTGCTTGTTCTCATTACAGGAGATAGCTTGGTTTAAATGCCTTCCAAACATGATTCAGCGCAAGTATGATTGAAAATGGATGACTTCTAAGGATCAACTAGAAACAAATAACAAAATTGAAACCAAAACTTCTTTGAGAAAACCCAACCCAAGAAGTGATATGCTCATTTTTTTTTTTTTCACAATTCACTGTCAAAATAACACCAACTCCCAACTAGGTTTTCTTATAAAATTAGGTTTGTCTAAACCAACCTCAAACTTACAAAATATGATAATGCTAATTTGCTTATGACACAACCTCTGCAGAAATTCGCTCTCAAGATCAAAACTCTCAAGCTAGAATCATCAGATATATTCATGCTAAAGTTGACTATTTCTGGCATGTTCTCAAAAAATATACATAGCCAACCACTCAGCACTTTTTTTTTTAAATAATACGAGGATCATTTTCATTCAGAAAATAAAGCAAAGTACAAACAGGGATCAAACAGCCCAGCTAAGAAGAACCCAAGAAAAAAAAAACAAGAAGAAGAAAAAGGCAACAGCAAAAACAACAACAACAACAACAATAAGCCTTTATCCCACTAAGTGGGGTCGGCTACATGGATTGCAAGACGCCATTGTGCTCTATCATTTATCAAGTTTTTAGGAATATTATTAATTAAAAGATCACGTTCAACAACTTCCAAGAGTGTTCTCTTAGGCCTTCCTCTACCTCTCTTAATCGGACTCAAAGTTATATCTTCCACTCTTCTCACTGGTGCCTCCCTTGGTCTTCTTTGTACATGTCCAAACCATCTCAACCGATTTTCTACCATTTTTTTCTCAATAGGTGCCACCCTCACTTTTTCGCGTATGTGCTCATTTCGAATTTTATCTTTACGTGTATGTCCGCACATCCATCGTAACATTCTCATCTCTGCTACTCCAACTTTATGCTCTTGCTGTCCCGTTAGAGCCCAGTATTCACTACTATATAACATTGCCGGTCTGATAGCAGTGCGATAAAACTTTCCTTTAAGTTTATTAGGCACCTTACGGTCACAAATAACTCCTTTAGCTTTTCTCCAATTAAACCACCCAGCTTGAATTTTATGTGAAATATCTCCACTGATTTCGTCATCATTTTGAATAATGGCTCCCAAATATCTAAACTTTTCCACTTGAGGTATAATTTGATCTCCCAATTTCACTTCCAAATTATTTTCGAATAGTCCTTTACCGAATTTACAATATAAATATTCCGTCTTACTTCTACTCAGACGAAAACCTTTCGACTCCAATGTCCTCCTCCATAACTCAAGTTTGCAATTAACCTCTTCTCTTGTCTCTGCTATAAGAACTATATCATCTGCGAAGAGCATACATTTCGGGATTTCCTCTTGAATATGTTCCGTCAAAACATTTAAAATCAAGTTGAACAAATAAGGACTCAGAGATGATCCCTAATGTAGTCCAATCTTTATAGGAAAATCCTTTGTTTGACCACTAGGCGTTCTTATACTAGTTTTTACCCCCTCATACATATCTTGTATGGTTTTAATATAAGCAATCCGTACTCCTTTTTTTTCAACGCTTTCCAAAACACTTCTCTTGGTATACGGTCATAAGCTTTTTTCTAAATCAATAAAAACCATGTGTAGATCTTTATCTTTACAACAATACTTTTCCATTAATCTCCTTAGTAGATAAATCGCCTCAACACCTTGAATGTCTTATCTATAAATATTACAGAATCAGACTACGTTTACATTGGTACATAAAAATTCATCAAAGTAACTCTTGAGCTGTAAAATTTCTGATATCGTAGACTAACTTTAAAAATTCATTCCTTGAGCTTTATGATTTCAAATTGAACAAAGTTTGGCTTATTCCAAATTTCTGAGCTCTATAGTCTATATGTCTACTTTATGCCATATATGTTTCAAGGCTAGATGACAACTAAAAATTACAGATTTTGAGCACAATATTATCAACTAGAAAAATGACAGCAAAAAGTTTAGGTTCTGACCTGAAGTTCAAAAGTTGTTTGACGATCAAATTCTACTTAGATTCCCACCAAATTTGGCACACTAGAATCTCTATATGAGATCTATTAATGGGCCAAATTTCATCCTAAAATACCCCATTTTAGCCTCTCAAATGCAGCAATATAAAAAACTGCCTCACATTCATTAAGCACCCTCACGTTCAAATGCAAGAATGCAACCAATCTGATTCAAGCAAATTTAAATAAACTCCAAAATTGATGATGTTATGGTCTAAACGTCCCCAGTTCAAAACTTGAACCAGTGACTCCTATTTAGTCTTAATCTCTAATTCAATCATTACGCCAAAACATGCCGGCTACGACTCTCAAACCGGTATTTTGTATGGAATGTATTTCAACTGTTGTAAATGGCCTAACTTTTATTAATGAATTTTACAGTAATTAATTTCCTAACGTGAAATCTAGATAAAATTCTCCCAATGTTATATACTATAAAATATATTTGAGGTATTAAAAAAAAAAAGGTCAGTAGTAGTCATCACTTACCACTTTTCAGTATAAACAAAATTAAGTAGTAGCAGTAACAAGGGACGGCAAAACACGATAAAATTAGCTAATTAGTTAAGCAACCCCATGTATTATTAAAATTGGGTTTGCATCACATCTCCTCACTTGAATAAATTAATAAATAAATTTTATTTGGATGGTGCAGATTTAAAATTTCTATTTCCCAGCAGTTTTTATTTTAAAAATGAAAGAAAAATACAAATAATCTTTGAATTATGAATTTAAAATATTAGATGGAGGAAAATTTTTGGGTGCCTGCTAGTTCCTAAGCAGTAACAATTTTAATGTCCAATGGAAGGGTAGAAATTGCAATGGCTATTATGACATTCGTGTTTTTTTTATGTAGTACAGGCTTTTGCATTACGTATATGGGTTCTTCATATTCCCCTCTCTTTCATGGAGTTAGGATTACAGATCATTCTTACATATTATATACTATAGGGTTTGATCCTACTACTCCTAGGTATGAGATTGCAATTGCATGGTCAATTATGCAAGTCATTTCCTCAAAATTATAGCTTGAATCGCCTTGATCTATTGCTAAAATATTGTGGCTCTCACCATTGCCAGATATAAATGATATTAATTGCTACTTTCTAGAGACACTGGCCATGGCGGCAATGTTAGATGGAGGAAGAGAGAATGAAGGGGGAAAAGGAGAGACATTTTGGTAATTGCGCTTTAATTTTTTATTCTACTAAAAACCCTTGGGATTCGAATGGTTAATTTTTTTTTTTTTAAATTTAAGAGATCAAAATCCCATAATGTTTCTTTTAGCTAGGGTCCCCAATTGCCATTCTTCTGAAGAAATTTCTTCCTCAAGTATTTCTTATTTTACTCAAGTATTATCTTATTTTATTCAGATGTTGATTAAATAGATTTTTTTGTTTTGGTAGAAGAGAGGGATATACCCTATATATTAAAAGCCAACTTACAAAGATGAAACTTGATTAAATAGATTTGAGTGTCATGATTTAATGCGTCACACTTGGAGCAACTGATTGAGCATCTTTATAACGGGGGCATAGACTTAAAAAAATGATACAATCCTAATTATACTTTATTTAAAAAAATACAATATTTTTAGTACATGTGCGATTAATAATCTAATTCAACATCCATGATCCATTTTAAAAAAGTCATGTTTAGCCATATCACTCTTCATAAATACATTGTTCATTTAGAATACCTTGAAGTCCCTGAATCACAAATCTATTATAATGTTTTGGTGAAACCAGGCTGAGTCAGATCCAACATTCCCAACAACCCTTGCATCGAAGAATAAGGATGTGACTAATTTAATTAGTTATTTATTAAAACAAATGAGGTCATGATTAATTTTTCTAAAATACTCTTTTAATCACTTGCATTATAAACTATGAACTCTTGCACATATGACCCATTTAATAAGACCAAACAAATAATAGCCTAACATTTCAAATATTTTGCGATGCAACCAGATTAATATTTAAGTTAAATTGAAATAAAAAAATACTTTTTTTTTTAATCTGAAATCTCATTCTCATTCTCATATCTGAAATATATTTTGCTCACTAAGCTAACAATAAATATTTAAAAGTGTTCAAATATTAAAGCGAATATGATTGTAAATAAACCAAGATTATAATAATTCAGTTACAAAAGTTTTACTAGTGTTACACAAGTTTTTTTATTTGTTTTGGGAATAAAAAAAAAATTGCAACCCAACTAATTATAAAGAACCACATTCTAGAATTTTTAAAAACTTCTCCCACAATTTCTTGTTAATATATTTTTCACAGCCATTAAGCCAATTTACTCTAGAAACTATTCTATTGTTAAAAACCGTAGGAACAGTTTGAAAAACATTACATACTTGGAAACAAAGTAGATTGAAGTTTTACATTTAAGATCAAAACAAACTCATCATCTAACTCCTGAGTCCTGTATTTAGAAGCAAAGAAAGTACTATGCATTTATGAAAAGATAGTATCATAAAAAAGATAGAGATATACCTCTTCAGAAATATACATAAAACATTTTGCTTGCAAGGTAAGGAACCAAACTTTGTGGTGGCGGTTCTGAAGTTATAGAAGTTAAGAAACAGACAACTCCTAGTTGCCAAGACACGAATACTCTTCTCCGCATGAGGGAACAGAACAATATTTTGTACTGTTGGGGGATAAAAAAGAATAATGTTTTGTACCAGAGAACAGTAACCACTTGAAGGAAAAAAGGAACACCAAAACGATAAGGAGATTTTAAGCATTCCCAAATATATATATTTTTCTAATAAATACTATAATCATAATCGCCAACCATGAAACATATATATACAGGCACAGCAGGGCCAAGCTCACATTAGAAAGGCGATAGCAGACTAAAATTATACAGAAATTACCAGCATGACAAGGCAGATAATTTAGGATTTTTTAGACTCATATCAAGGCAAAAATCTTAAAAATTAAGGTAACCCGGTTGCAAACATACAACAATGCCTCTAAAACACGTCCTAAATTTTTTGTATTTGCCCAGATGCACAAGAAAACCTGTCACTAACAGTGAATTTTAACAATCAAAACTTTACATCACACATTCATAGACATGATTTGATGTGCGAGACCAGGATCATGCTGTAACAGCTCCCTCAAATTATTTTCCACCTCAGCGATCTGCTTCTCTAGGTATTCTTTTGAGCTCTGTCCAAAGCCAAAAAAACAACTAATTTCACCTCATCTACTAAAACTAAGCTCATATTTACTGTTTAATGTTGTAGCTAACTGTGGTTAAAGTACATTTAATTTTTTTTAAGAGCGTGCCCCAAAACTGAACGAATATGCAGACACTGGGAGTATAAAAAATTTGAAGAGTAGAATACTTTACTCTTAAGTCAGGTAAAAAGAAAGAATATTTTACACTGAAGTCAGGAAGGATATGCACCTGTAAAGAGGTAATTGAAGCTTCACTATCCTTAATCTTATTCTCCTGTTCAGTCATTAAAGTTGTCTTGGTCTCTAATACAAACCTGCACATGAAGGCGAAACTTATTACAGGATGTCATTCCATACATCTAACTACCAATAAATAAGGCATTTCCTGTACTCTATTTAGATGGATGTTCAAATAGGTATGAACAACTCACATTCTCCCTGCAAAACAAGAAAAATGGAGAGATCGTATGAGAAATCGATCACATGGCAGTAAGTAAATGAACCATACTACTAACAGAAGAGAGAATGTTTGTAAAAACAGAGCCTGCATATTATACAGACATCAAAACAAATTTTCAAATTACAGGATAGTCATTATAATAGCATTTTAATCAGAATGACTAATACTGCACTACACAATTTCATCCAGTACAAAAAACTCTATTAACAAAAGTAACATGAGAATCTGACTATTTTGTACCAATGGATTTGTATACATTTGTATCATCAGGCAACTGTCGCAGCTCCTCAGAGGTTAGATAAGCACGCTTCTTTTCACCTTCCTTGTTGCGCATCTGGTTCTGCACCTGAAGGCCAAGGGTGGTAGTAAACTTAAAATTCAAATAATCTAAGAACTCCCACTATGAGCAAATAACTTCCAAGAAGAAAAATGTTAGAGACTGTTTAAAACTGTTTTTATTTATTGTTCTGAGAACTGGTATTTTGTAAAACATATTCTGAGAACAAAAAAATAATGAAAACAGGGATTTTTTTCATTTTTCCTTGTTCTCCTGAACAATAATCCCAAAACATTTGAAAATTGTTTCCATTTTTCTGCTCTCGAGAACAATATTTTATTTTTTTTATTCTCTAAAACACTTTTTAAAAACACATTACCAAACAGATTTTTTTGTTCTTTTGTTCTGTTCTAAGTTGCCAAACAGGCCCTTAATGTCTGCTTTTCATTTTAGCTTTTCTCATTTTCCTATATTTTAGGTCTTCCAAATAAATAGAATCATGAAAATTCACAATATAGATATTCTCAGTCAGAATTGATAATAGTGAGAAAGGGGCAAGCAAGTTGTAATTAAGCAGAACAAACCATACCTTGAGTTTCACTTGATACCACGATAATGATATAAGAATTGACGCACTCATACCCTCAGTACCTCATCTTAATAAATGATTTTCATTGATTCAACTGAATTAGAGGTAATTTACACATTCATCATATGTATTAAATTTTTAACAACATCGATTTCAATAAATATGTAATTAAGTGGTTACTAGTCTCTAAATATGTATGAAAATATACTGTACGTTAGTTATTGATATGTTGTTGGAGTACAAAACAATGTTGAATAGATGTAAAATTACGTGAGAAGAAAGAGCCATATCGGGCCAGCCAATTTGCAGTTTGTCTCTAGTGTTATTCATTTTGAGAATTGTTGTCCAGACAGAGAATTTTTGGACCTTAGAGGGAGCCTTAGCGTTTAGAGTTCTAAATTGGCTTGCCAAGAAGAAACCTTTCCCTAGCAGGAGAATGAGCAAGGATCTGACAAGTGAGATTAGTAAAAATGCTAGAAGAATTAAGATTTCAACTTCCACATCTTGTGTAGAAGAAAAAGAATAGGTTCAATTATTTAAAAAAGGGCCTGAAGTTCATTAATTTATTTGTCATTCATGATTCTCAAAAAATGGAAATCTCAAAATTTATTGGAACTATCAACAGTAAAGAAATCACAGGTGGAAGAATTGTGAAAACAAGAAAACCAACAATGACAAGGTTATGCCTCAAAAAAGGTGCATTTTCCAACCCAAGCATCCTCCTTAAATCTTATTTTGAGCCATTAACCAATTCAGGGAGACTAGTGGTCTAACAAACAAATATGCTTGCAAAATAAATTTCCAAGGAAGTGGATTAGTCATATTTATTGCTTTGTTGGCTTTCCAATCATTATAAATTTAAGTTGTACTTGCTTCAAGTTAACTAATGCTATAAAGCGTTCAACCTTGAAGGAAATTATCTACTAATACCATTTAGCCGCCCAGGCAATGGTGGATAAGGCTGACTATTCATTGATGATAACACCATTAGACTTTGTTAGGATTCGGAAGGCAGCAACTCAACATTCAGCTATAGCTATTGTCTTCTCCATTAACGCTGCAATGGTAGCTAAGCCTTACTCTTCGAGGTCTCAATGGTAGTTAATGGATGATACCCGACAAGGTGTGGTTATCCAAGTTGGTATGATCACTATGTCCTTTATTTTTTTTTATTTTTTTTACAGGGTTCAAACTGATCATCCGTACTTCACGTAGTGCAAATGCCACATTTCTGTTTTCAGACACAGTTCGGTTCTGTTTTGGATCACGTTTAGAAATTTTCAAAGAAGATCAACATCTAGGTTTGATCAGGAATGTCAGACACCGTAGTAAAACCAGAGAACCAGAGAATCATTGAAAAATCATATACTTAATACAGTTTCGAACAGATTTGTACACCCCACATCAGATTGAAAAAACTTCGAAAGTAACACAGATTTCACCTGCTTCAGCTTCCCAGTAGTCTCGATCATGCGACTTTGAATTTCGAGGAAAGCCTGCACGGATCCAACCAGCAGAAAAGGGTCAGTCTGGTCAAACGAACAGTGCCAAAAACGCAATAGCTAGTGCGTGAAGAGTAGCCTATGAGGGCTACACGACTTGGTTCTTACAGTTCTATTGCCTTCGTCGGCCATTTTCGACTCTTCGGAACCCAGGCAGAAAATTCACCACTTCAGGTTTAATGGAGGAATTTCTAGGTCAAATCTCTCCCTCCACTCATATTTACAAGGCAGAGTCATTTAATCCGTATACAAGTCCTGTCTGATTTTTTAAGTAATATTTAAAAATATTATCGAAATTATCTTTAATAAAAATATAATATTACTTTTTAAATTTTTATATAAAAATGTATTTAAAATGTTAGCATTTTACGCATTTTTTTTTTTTACCATTGGTATTTTACACATTTATTTATCTATTTTGCATCGCTGTTGATAAGATTAATGAGAATGAGTTATAACAAAAAAAAAAAAAAGGAGGTACTTGTAAGGTTCGCAGAATCAGCGGAGGTTGTACGGCCTTGAAAGAGGCCTGCAACCTACATTTGACATCTACATTTGCCCCTTATATTTTATGAATTACATTTTGTCCCACAATATTTTCATTTTTCACTGTGCTTAATTTGATAATTGAAATAAATAAATATCAATTAAGATTAACGCAGCTGGTAAGAATTTGATGCACAACTTACAAAATAGCAGGATCAAACACTGTTACCGATTTGAAAAACTTGTCAGATGAACAATTTATAAGTATTCATTAAGCTTTGAGACATTAACTTGTCTAGGTCCCTAAATTCAATTAACTTAAATTTTTAATGAAATAAATAAATAAATGATCTCCCGTCTCTATCTAATCTCCAACTCCAAGTGTGTTATTTCTCATCTCGAAATATCACCAATTCACTTGGGTTAGGTTAAAAAAAAAAATTGTTTTTTGAAATTCTGCCAAATTTTTTGGTCAAAGAAACTAAAAATAAATCTTATCTTATCTCACTATATAATAAAGTATACCACAAGATTGGCCTCATGCTCACATAGACCCAGAGATCCTCGAGTTTACAAATCTTAGGATAATATTGATCCAGGTAACTCAGTAAGGCCTCTCAATGCCACTCCTAGGTAAACATGGGTCACTTTAGAATCCTCAACATTTTGACACTTCAATCCATGAATCTCTGAGTGTAGTGAGATGGACTCATACCTATGGATCATGGTCAAATTCTTTTTAATGCACAAGTTACTTAGAGAGGCAAGTGCTGAGCATACTTAAATCTTAATATGATAAAAGTAAGATAGTATTGAATTAAGCTTTTAGAAGAAAACAGATGGTTTAAAAGAGAAACATAATAGAGAGCATGCTGATTTTATTGCTTCGTTTTATAGAAGAAGGGAGTATAATAAGACAACACTATTATTACAAGATGATACACTATTATCACAAGTCTAATTACTTTTTTTAAAGCAAAAGTAGATATGATTAAAAATAAATATAGACTTGATAAAAGGAAAAACTAATTTGATTAAAATATAATAGTTTTGTTAAAAAGTGAAAGTCACTTCTAACAAATGTAAAGCTACCTTATTAAAGATTGACTCTGACAAAAGTAAAAGCATATTCTTCACATGATAGAAGATAAGGTTTCAATCACCTCATATACTTATAGATGCTCTTCTGATTAGGGAATAGATTGAGGAATCTTTTTTCTTCTTTTTTGAAACGCGAAGCTGATAGACTTTCTATTTTGTTTTCAACCATGTCTTTAGATAGTTCAAGGGTGAGAGAGTCTTATGCTTTTTGAAATTGTCAACTATACTAAAATTCTATCTTATAAGGATCTCGGCTATCTAGAAGAGGAAAACTTAAAGGAGATCTTGTATTCTGGGATGACTGTTCTTTATGGATTGGGGAATATGGTTCCATTCATGTCAAATATCCTGGTTGGACAGCAATACTGGAAAGCCATTATGGGAATGGGTATTGCACTGATGGTGATAGATCATCAGGAATAACAAGTTGACGTGGAATAAGACTACAATATGTACACTTGACATTAAGATTTGTTTAGGGGAGTTATTCATATCATATAAAAAATCTTTTAATTCAAATAAAACTAATTTTTCACGTGATGGCCAATTGGTAGAAGTTTTTTATAGACAAGCTTAGTTAGAAACATAGAGATTCTTATAGCTATCTAAATTGTAGGGACAATGAACAACAAAGAAGGAGTAAGCCTTTTGTCTGTCTAAGGATACCTTTCATAGACCATAGTTTTAAATCACCTGAAAAAGTTCTTTATACTTTTAAGGTAATGGTAAAAACCACTCAAGGAAGTTTCAGAGATTAAAACCTTTATTAGTAGAATCATAAAGGTAATGATCAATGATTATAGGTGGGAAATTTAACGCACATGCACAGAAGGCTAGGAGAAGCTAGAGATACCACATGGCTTCTTTCAGTATGGGACCTCTAATGTAAGGTATAGCTAAGTATGGGATTTGAATGTTGAAGAACTCAAGCTATGGTTGAATTACAGTTTTTTAAAGGAGAAAATAGAGCCAATATAACATAATTATTTTAGTTAACTATAGACTTTAGTAATAGTTATGGGATCAGAATTAAGAGGGAAAATTAGCTTCTTAGGCATGATGTTGAGGATGAAAAGAGGTTAGTGATATGAGGGTGTTGTGAGTTGCATTCTTTTTTGAGGTTGTGTTAGATAATCTGCAATAATGTTATGGTTTCCTTTACTGTGTCAAACTGTGAATTTATAACGAGAAAACTAGTCTTTCCATTGAAGGAATTAAGCTTTAGCGAGTACTTTTTTATTTTGATCAAGAATCTTTCGAAAAGATGTGTTGTCCATTTTTACCATGAAGTGATAAAGGCTAAGATGAAAATTGAATTTTTTAATGCCACATTTCACAATTAGGACTTCTTTTTAAGCTATGTGATAATGCTTTTTAGAGGATTTGAATTCTCCACTAGCATGATCATAGTAGTGTCTTTTCCCATTTTCTTCTTCAATAAGCACTTCTCTTCAATCATTATCACTCATATCGATTTGCAAAATCCTTTGTCCTTTACTAAGGATTCTCAGTAGTGGAGGATGTTAACAAATCTATTGTAGATGATGGATAGCTTTGGTTTGGTTGCTTCGCTAAGGTGGTGGATTTGTTTGCAATAGCTTGGATAGTTGGCTAGTGTGATTGGACACCTAAGGAATAAAGTTTTTGATGTAATTCACAATCCCTAAGAATTGTTGAATTTGGGTTCTGGATAAATTCTCATCTAAAAATTTTAATAGTTCTTGAGCAATGTGTAGATTGGGATGATACTGCCCATCTTGAATAATCATACTCAAAAATTCTATTTGGGCTACACCAATATGACCTTTACGAGATGAACACATAATCTCATATTGCTAGATTATTCTGAAGAATTGGGGTAGCAAGTTTTTATGTTCTTGCTTAGTTTATGAGAATAGTAGTATGTCATCTATGTAGTAGATCAAGGTGCTATTAATGATAGGGTCAAAGATATAGATCATAGCCTTTTAAAATAATGATAGGGTAATTTTAAACCCAAAAGGCATAACTGTCCATTATTATTAGGAATACAGAAGGCTATCTTGTAATAATCTACTAAAACAATATCTAATTGCCAAAATCATGTATTGAGATCAAACTTAGAGAATATCTTGGCCCGCTTTACATGGACAAGTTGATTGTTGATCTTTGAAAGAGGAAATTTGTTATCATGTAAGAATGCATTGAGAGGCTTATAATCAATCATTAGCCTTTTTTTTTCTTGTTGTTTTTATGACCTTTTCTCAACATAGAATACTTAATATGCCTAGTCTGACTTAGTTAGCTCAATAAGCCCTTGTTTAAGCAAAGTCACATATTCTTGCCATGCTAGAGTAGGATATTCTAAATTTATTCTAGGATGAGATGCTTTTGTGAGATTGATATCTTTATTTTTCTTGAATATTAGTGTGGTGAAAAATTATTGATTCTTTCATAAAGGAAATGGATGCTAAAATTGATCATAACTTTCACAACAAAATTGAAAAAGTTGATCCCTAATCTATTCATAGCTTGGAGGGGCTTGCTAAATCTCAAGGACACTTGGGATATCAGTATACTTGCTAAAGAATTGTTTAAATATGATGCCCTTAAGAAGTACCTGTAGGTTCTTTGTCTGTTGGCAAACATCAATATCTACAAGAATATCTTTAGCAGGTAGATTACTCCCAATAAGCATAGTCTAGACAACACATCTAAGGAAAAATCTTATACCAATCTTTCTTTTGGTAATAAGATTTATCATAAAGGGCTTTCCATCAGTGGTAAAGAAATACTCTTTATGTGAAATCCATTCTTTTTTAAGAAGAATATAGAGCTTTACGACACTTCTATAGGAACCAATTTTGATAAAAGGAATCGCTGAGTTGGGCTTGTCATATTTAATACTAGGAAGAATTTAGGCTTTTATATTGGGCTGAGGAGGCTCAATTTGATAGTGTTGGTTGTAGGAATGTATTAGCTTAAAGAAGGAACTAATAATATAAAGCGGTGGATACTGTTCATCATTAAAGTCAGAACTTAAGCTTTGGCTCACTTGTGTTGCTTTTTCAGATGCTGTCTCTCGAGTTCCTCTACTAATGTTTATGAGGTCGTTGCTTACTTATCGATACAGTCCTGTATCATGGTCAAAAACAAAGCTACAACATTATTTAACACTATAATGGAATGTTTACTTGAGCAAGAGGATTTGAGATTCTCCTCCCAAGCTAGTAGATAAGGCATTCCTTGAGGAGGTGTTGCCTGTTGCCCCACGATCACTAGAGTATGAGAGACCCGTACTTCACGCGTAGCTACATTCTTTGAGTCATAAGACTCAGGTCCATTCTCTCCAATAATATATTGATCCTTATGTGTCTTAGGCATTTCGTTTACATGTGTCCCATTAGGCATGCCAAAAGATTGTTTGACAAAGGGGTGTTGTAAGGCATGCTAGAGATGCAGGTCTTAAAAGGATGGAAGAACCTGACTTCTAATCAATTGCAGGGAACCCAGGCTCCCTTACCATAGTTTGCTCGAATGCGAGAATGCGAAGTGAAGAAATCAATGTAGATGTAAAGTAGCAGAGATACATTAATTAAAAAAAGAGGTGGCAAGCTATGCTAGTCATACAATAGAAAAAATAAAGATAAAAACTACATAATAAAGGGAAAATAAAGTAGTAGACGTGGAGTTTGAAAATTTAACTAGTACACTATTACAAGATAGGATTTTAATAGTGGATAAAATATTTTTAACAGCAGTTATAGAGCCACTATTGTTTTAGGAGATGTTAAAAGTATGTAATTTTTAACAGTGATTGATAAATCGCTATTAAAAATAATCTTTCAACAGCGGTTCTAAGTCCATTGTTAAAAGTTACCTGTTGATTGCATTTTTTGAAAAATGAAACTTTTAACAATAGTTAACTATTGTTAAAAGTGAGACTTTTAACGGTGATTATATTTTTAACCGCCATTAAAAGTCAACTTTTAACAGCAGTTATGGTTAAAAGTGTTTTTTTCTTAAAAAATTAATTCTGTTTCTACTTATTTCCCCAATTCTTTTAAATAAAAATGTTTTATACAATTTATCAAGGCGTATATAATTATTAATTTATATATATTAATTATTATCAAAATCATAATGTCCATTTTCTTGCCAAAAAAAAAGTAGTCTTCTTGGCTGAGAAACAATAGAGCAACTTACCAAGGCGTATGTCTTGATCTTTCATCAAAAATATATTTGAACACTGACCAGTTTCATGTTTTTTTTCCATTAGTATACAGCTTTGGAGAATTAGGAAGCAAATAATATCACTACTACTAATTATAAAGAGATAACTGTAGCTCATTGACCTCCCGATGAAGAATATTGTTGATGTGCAAGTAGTCAAGTGCCATAAGAAGTTGAACAAGCCACTTGCAAAGTTTCTGCAGATAGAGAGTGCTTCAAGACATACATGTCCAAATGCTAATAGATATTTTAGCCCATTTCCTCTTACTAGGGGGTGGACTAAATGAAGATATACAGTAGATTCAGTAGGGACAAAACAAATTGGCATTACCTCCTCTGGAAAAAGAATTCCATTTGCGTTTTTTTATAGCTTCTGCCCTGTAATTCAATCCATATTGATTTTAATAACACTAACAATGCTACAATTTACAAAAGCGACCAAATAGAAGGAGTATAACTATGAATTGCAAGTAAGAAGGAATTAAAGAAAAGGACTTACGTATCTCCACCCTCACAGTAACCTATAATGATGCACACATAACAACCCTGAGAAGCAATCCATCAACACACACCAATATGAAGCAGTTGTCATTAATTTTTGCATTGCCCGCAGCAATAATAAATAAAGCACAAATGCTTATCATAGAAGAACGTAGATAAATCAATAATAATGACAGGTGTGTCAAATTTTATGTTTAAACAAGTAAGAAAGTTAACGTGAATATATTCGTTGAAGATTAATATGAACCATCAAACTCGACAGTATCACACCAAATGAATGAAACAAACAACATATTCAAGGTTGGTGTTTCCAAAGATATGACCAAGAATTAAATTTCTTGAATTCTTTTATAGACACTGCTAAAAGCTTATGAGGGTAAGCTTCAAGCAAAAAGCATTCTATTAATTAATTGAAAGAGGTAAAGTGATTACCTTCTCTACCCATGAATCTTTATGCTCCACAATGAATGGATTTCTGAATTTAGAGATTAGCTCCATCTATAAAGGTAAAGAACTAAGATGTAGGAGACATCATAAATCATGTTTATAAGCATATTCGCATCAAAAATTCAAATTGCAGTGAGGTGCTTTGTCTTTTCACGAGATGCTCAGTTAATTCACTTGTTAAAATCATTATCCAGCATTAACCTCCTAGTGCGCAGATCTACGAGATCTCTCAATTATTGTTTAATTGATTCAACAATAATTAAAAATAAAACTACAATTAAATAATAATTAATATATATAAATTAATAATTAAAAAGAAAAGAAAGGGACAATTACTTGGATAGAGGAATGAAGGAGGAAGAGCCAAGAGGGAGGCCAAGCTACGATGAGGAAAGAAGGAGGAGGTGAGGAGGAGGAGAGTTAGGGGAGGGGGCCAACAGAGGGAGTTGGGGGAGGGGGTTGGGAAGGTGGAGTTGGGGAAGGGGGAGCCGATAGTGGGAGAGGGGGGAGGGGGCTTGATAGAGGGGGAGCGGGAGGGGCACTAATGGAGGGAGAGGACAAAGGAAGAAGATGAAGTGATGGAGAGGACGAATAAGTAAGGCGAGCTGGAGGCAAGGCAGGTTTTTTTTAATGCTTTGAAAAACTTTCCACAACAGGCGTGCCACATCCCCCGCTGTTGAAAGTCTACTTTCAACAATAGATGATGTGGCACGCCTGCTATTGAAAGTGTTAAATTATATTTTTTTATTTCTCAACTTCCAACAGTGGGTCATCCGCTGTTGAAAGTGTTAAATTATATATTTTTTTTATTTCTTAACTTCTAACAGTGGGTCATCCACTCTTGATAGTGTTAAAATTATATTTTTTTTATTTCTCAACTTTCAATAGCAAGTAACACCCATTGTTGAAAGTCAAAAATTTTATTTTATATTTAATTTTAAAAACTTTTTAATATCAGGTTAAATTACACTTGATGTTAAAAGTTTTTTCTACAGAGGTTTAATTTTAAATCAATATTAAAAGTCCTACAATGGTTATAAATATTACAAAATTGCCATCGCCTCTGCTTTCAATAGCAAATGCCTTTTAATTGATGTTAAAAATTCCTTGTAAAAGACAAATTTTGCATTAGTGGTAGTTTGTTGATGATGATCCTTTTTTGATGAGAGAGTGTCCTCTATTTATAAATGATCCTGGCTTGGTATCTAGACCCCATGATCGCTACTTTTTCTTAAATTTAGGAAGCAATTCGTCCATCATAGCCACTTTTCAACTTTCATAATCCAAGTGTCATGGGTGGAGTGTACAAATAATGACCTAGACTCGATCTTGACTTAATTGTTAAGGCTTCATGAATATTCATTTTTAATTATTTTAAGACTAATTAAGTTGAGTTGATGGCTCAAAAAAAAAAGTTGAGTTGAGCCCGGGCCTTAAAATTTATAATTTAGGTGCAAACACCCACCAACTTAGATCCCCACTCACAACTCATTGCTTTAAAGTAGAAGGCTCATGCCATTGAACCAATTGAATTTTCAGAAATATTTTTATTTAAAAAGACGAGAAGAAAATAGAGTTAGAGTCTCTCTCTCTCTCTCTATATATATATATATATCCAGGTACTAAAATAATTTTGCATAAACTTTGGTGAAAAATGGATTCTAAAGTTCGCACCTTTGAAGTTTGTGAAGTGTTCTATGCAAAATACTTTGTTATCACCTAAGTAAAGACAATACCAAATGCCCCGGAAGATAAACTGAACTCGAATTGATGGATAATTGATGTTTTAAAAGATATTGCTTGTCTTTTTCTTTCAAAACAATTTAATCAACATGATTGAGAAACAAAGATAAGTAATTAAACCATTAATTGAAGCTTTCACGTACAATAATAACTTAGTTATGAACATTTGGAAAAGGTAATTGTGTTGATTGGCCAGCCAAGAATCCGTCAAGTTGAGGGGTTCTACATTATAAATGAGCATTATAGCGAGCTTGTGACATGGTCGTATCAAGAAATTAAATTATGGGAGCCTCCACTCTTCGTATTGATGTATTATTGCTAACAATGAAGTACTTTGCCTCATTTTTCATAATACACACATACGCACATGAATATTTTCTCACCCAGTGAATGTCCTCATTGGAGTCGAATGATTTCATTAATGCTTGAAAAACCATGCTTGATCATGAACAAATGAAACAATGAGTTAAATAACAGTTATATGAGGATACATTACAACCATTTCTCTATAAATTGCAGTTATATAAATCATTAGATTAAAGTTATAGGACACAACAAAAGAAAAATTATGATTTGGTATTCTCTGGATATCTTGTAGTGCCGGTGAGACACTCATCACTAGGTCGTGAAATTTGAGACCATACTCCTCGAGAAAATTAATAATTGCACCTTCACCAGCCCACTGAGAGAAGGGAAAAATTAATTAGAATAATTACATTATGCCTGTGTGAACTTAAATATGAAAAGGCAAAAGGGGCTAGAATTACTCTTGATAGAATATAAAGATACTGAAGAACGTCGACCATTCCCACGACAAAGACACATAGCAGTTAGAAACGTAACTTGATTAAAAAAAAAAAAATGCCTCAAAGAGAAAGAAAGGGTTAAAGACAAGGACGAAAGCGGAGAAACTTAAGCCTTTTCGTATCTTATCACCTCTTAACAAAGAGAAAGAGTATAGCCATCCCTCGTTTCTACCGTTATGTATCTGTCAGTCACTTTTGGAAATCTCCGAGCCTCCATTAATGTCATCGTTCATTCACACACCCTTCTCTCTTTATATACATATGTATATATATATATATATGTATGTATGTATGTTATAGTCCCTGCAATACACAGATCATTAAGCAGACTGTGTGTAGTAGCTAAGTAAACTGTAGCGAGTGTTTCTAACTGTATAGTTTTCATTTCAAGTCCATATATCCATGGCCATTGCGACGAGTTTTCCAACAGTTAATAAATGTCCTTCTGTAGGACGGGAGAAGCACACTGTGGTGGCTGACATGGACGGAACCCTACTGCGAGGAAGAAGCTCATTTCCGTATTTTGCGCTGGTGGCATTTGAGGTTGGCGGAGTTTTGAGGCTTCTTTTCTACGTCATGCTGGCCCCTATCGCCGGCCTTCTCTACTACTTAGTGTCTGAGTCTGCCGGCATCCAAGTCCTGATCTTCGCCTCCATGGCCGGAATGAAGGTGTCAAGCATCGAGTCGGTGGCGCGTGCGGTGCTGCCCAAGTTCTACGCCGGAGACCTGCACCCGGAGAGCTGGCGCGTGTTCTCCTCATGTGGGAAACGTTGTGTGCTGACGGCGAATCCGAGGATAATGGTGGAGCCGTTTCTGAAGGAATTCTTGGGGGCTGACATGGTGCTGGGGACGGAGATAAGGACGTTGAAGGGAAGGGCCACAGGGTTGGTTTCGGAGGCAGGGATACTTGTGGGAAAGAAGAAAGCTGGCGCGTTGAGGAAGGCTTTCGGCGATGAACAGCCAGAAATTGGGCTTGGTGATAGGTCAACCGATGCTCCTTTCATGGTTTTGTGCAAGGTAATAATACATATATAAACATGCATGTCTTCAAAAACTAGGTCAATGCCAAGACTTACATACACAATATAATATAACGCTACACATAACTCAATTCCTTTTTGTTTAAGAACAAAGATATGTACTTAATAAAATTAAATCACAGTGCTTTTTATTTTTTTTCAAAAAAATAAAACAATAGGTTCCCATCCTTGATTGTTATTTTAGTTTTTTTTTTATTGTTTTCAGTCTCTTTAATTTGATATGTGGCTATAACTTTAATTCCTATACAAGAATTATGCTGATATGAAGATGTGGAGTTCATGTTTAACATTTTATTTTAATCAGACATGGTCAATTTATTTTCTTATCATCGTATTTTTTTCATCTCAGTCGAGAGGTTAACATAATTAAATACACGTGAGTAAAATTAATTCTGTTAGTGTAAGGTCATGGTTTTTATTGTATTCTTAAGATAATCAAATTAAAGGAATTGAAACAACAAAATAAAATTATAGTCTAAAAACAAACGCAATCATAGTGTTATATATTTTTTCTGTTTAATTTAACTTAACATTTTATCTTTCGGTTTCAACTATCAAGCTATTGTGCATAGTTTTTTTTTTTTTTTGGGCCAAAATTGTAGCACAAAGGTTTGAACGTAACTGATGATGCACGGACGACTTGTAGGAGGGTTACATCGTGCCATCGAAACCAGAAGTGAAAGCCGTGACAAGCGACAAGCTTCCGAAGCCCATCATCTTCCACGACGGCCGTCTCGTCCAGAAACCCACACCTCTCTTTGCTTTGCTCACAATCCTATGGATCCCCATCGGTTTCCCCTTAGCCGTCCTCCGCATCGCCGCCGGATCACTTCTTCCCATGCACTTAGTCTACTATGCCTTCTGGGCACTTGGCGTTCGTGTGAAGGTCAAGGGCACACCACCGCCTCCGGTGAAGAAAGCTCAAGGTCAATCCGGCGTCCTCTTTATCTGCTCTCACAGAACCCTACTCGACCCTATCTTTCTCTCCACCGCCCTCGGCCGCCCCATCCCCGCCGTCACGTACTCTGTCTCCCGCCTCTCTGAGATCATCTCACCGATAAAGACCGTCCGTCTGAGCCGTGACAGGGCCACCGACGCGGCCATGATAAAGAAGCTCTTGGAGGAAGGTGACTTGGCCATATGCCCAGAAGGGACGACTTGTAGGGAGCCATTTCTTCTGAGGTTTTCGGCCTTGTTCGCGGAGCTGACCGACGAGCTGGTGCCGGTGGCCATGGTGAACCGGATGAGCATGTTTCACGGAACGACGGCAAGAGGGTGGAAAGGGATGGACCCATTTTACTTCTTCATGAACCCTAGCCCTGCTTATGAGGTAACGTTCTTGACCAAGTTGCCAAAAGAGCTGACTTGCAGCTCAGGAAAATCAAGCCATGAGGTTGCGAATTATATACAGAGAGTGATTGCTTCAACATTGTCTTATGAGTGCACGAGCTTTACGAGGAAGGATAAGTACAGAGCACTGGCTGGGAATGATGGCACCATGACGGAGAAACCTCTGCTCAAGCCAAACAAGGTGATGGGCTGCTGATCAATATTGGACGACTTAAAAGTTTGTAAAATCAGTGATGGCAATAAAGCAATGGAAATAAATCGATGAGATTTTCATTAGAATAGGATCTTTGTTCTGGTGAAACCCAGACACCTGAAGTTCTCGAAGCCATAGATATTTAAAGACTGCGCTTCTTTCGGTACTTCGAGTTCTAAGATTAATTAATTAATATTCTGTCCATATCAATATATCTTTATGGCATACAAAAATTATTAAAAAACTGAAATAATTAATTCATAAGCTAAAAATACAGCACAATTCTCTATGGAATCTAGCTATGCATAACTATGTTACATATTTAATTATAAAGGATAACACTTAGGCCAATTTTCCAATCAGTGACATGATAACGAAATTTAAAAAAAATTATACATTACATAAGAGAGTATCAAATTAACGAACAACATGCAAATAAACTTAGACGTCCCACGTCTTAATGGGCATGAATTACGCTGACAATGTTTACTGTACTTAAGGTTAGATTTTTTTAAAAAAATAAATTAGTTTTCAAGTAATAAACGAACAAAAAATAACTTGTAGAAATCTTTTTATAAAAAAATTATTTAAATAAAATTCTTTAGAAATTGATTTTAAAATTTCAGGTAAAATTTAACATTTAAAATTAAAATAATAATAATAATACGTAGAAAAAGAGACAAATTATCTGATAAATAACTTGAAACCATTCCACATATAAATATGTACATACAGAGGTGGATATTTGTCTTAGAACATGACTATTATAATGAAGATTTTCATAAAATCATCGTAGCAAAGTGTTTTTCAATGGTTTCTAGCTTCCTAGCCAATTCTTACCAGGTCATAACGGTTCAACCACCAGTACAATTCTCACGCCAGGAACAACCTACTTACCAACACTGCAGCCAATGACTACTACTGTCATAAATATGTCGATGATCAATTCATGAACTTTGCACACCCGAAAAAAGAGTTTAAATGTGTATTTCTACAGAGGCAGTGACAAAATGAAATCAGAGAGCATCACGTTTAAGTTTAACAATAAACAAGTGGGCATCCATTTTGATGATATCATCACAGAATGAGGTGCCGTACTTATTTATGATTATAAATTACAAGTCAATTGGTGGAAAATTCGTTTAACAAGAGTATCCAATAGAAACGGTTAGTCTACTTGTTTATTCTAAGCTAAATAAATTATTCCGCTGCTATAGCTAAAAACATGCGGTGCGCGTACATGTGTGTAACCAACAGCTACGTAAAACGATAATCAGAGCATCAGAGGAGGCCGAACTAATGTTACTATTAACTACTCATTTTGCGTCTAACAACAAAACAAAAATACGGCGGGAAGGGGTAAAACTTAGATGACCCTGCAAAAACAATATGCATAACCCCATCGGATAGAATATACCCATAGCCACTATAAATTTTCCTGAAACAAATGAATATAACTATACCTATAGCCACTATACAATTTTCCTGATCCCCACAGAGGAGTGCTCCAGAGAAATTTAGTTCAAATCGCTTCAAGGCTATCTCCCCCAGCTGAAGACTTACGGATATGTATAGACAGAACCACTCGTAACAACATTGACAGCTTCTCTATGATTCTTTTCCTACTACCTTCAGAAAGCCGCGAATGCGTTCAGCATATCATCATATTGCCTTGAACCAGATGGCTCAGAATTTTCTAGTTGTAGATTTTTACTTACTTCTCATACGTATGACGATTCTGCTAGATTGAGAAATAATAATTGTAGGGTCTGAATTCTGTATACAAAATTAATACAAATATATATATATATATATATATAACTTTTATCTATTGAATTTTCACTTAATTATCGATTCAGTCCTCAAACTCTGACTCTAGATAAAGAATTGTATGAATTAAGTTGTCCCGAGCAAGAAACTATAGGAATCGACTTGTTTCAAAATAAAGTTCAAGTACTAAATTGATAATTAAGGAAAAATTCAGGGATTAAAGTTTTTTCCAAATTAACAATGGCACTGACAATATAATGATCTATTAATGTTTTTTTTCCATTACCATTTTTCGTTTAAATTTCCAGAATCAAGTGCATAGGCAATTGAAATATCCTGTCCTATCAATTTTTAGGCCGAAAATTGCATTATCCAGAAGCATAGTCACTTTACTAATCAACAAGAAGGCAGCAGCTCAAAGACGAGGCTACATAAGTGAAAGACCACAGCAAGGACCATTTCTCTCCAACCCATGCAGCTACATGACGAATCCACGGGATTAATTTTAATTAATCTCTAAGACAACGGATATTAATGTACTTCTTAACCTATATATAGTTTTATCCTACCCTACTTAAACTGGAAGCATCATATCCACAAGATTTTAATCCCCTCCCTTAAAGTACAGTGATAGATTTAGGAGTTAGTACTGTTTGTTTAAACTTAAAAATAAGAGACTTTTAGATGATTTAGAGCTTATACAAAAAGACAATTAATTTTGTAAAGATTTCATAAAAAGCAGAAATTATTTTGCATTTGATTTCAATAATAAAAAGTGATTATTACTTAGTGATTTTCATATTTAGGATATCTCAGTAACTTCTCAAAATAATCAGAAATTTGTTTTTTTAGATTCTATTTTTTAAAAGCTTAAACAAACATTATAAAATTTCACAATATATATATATGTATTTTTGCAATAAGTAATTTTTTCATAAAAAAAAGGTTGAATAAATGGGTCCTTAGTCTGGAGATCATATTACGTTACCTGGTTGGTTGCAAAGAACCTTTTCGGGGCAGTATGGTCAGTGTGCTCCAATCCAAGATATTGCTGCTCCCAATCACCATAGATATCTCTTTTCTACAAAGTAAAATGATAGTATGTTAAACTCAGAAAAGAAGCAATGTCTCTAAGGAAATCCTTACACTAACACAATGATAAGATTCCAGATAACATTCCCATGAAGACTTATCCAAGAAGAAAGCGTCAAAAGATAAATTCAGATTGATTTCATTGTTTATTTTGCTCAGTATTTGATATTTCTTTAGATTTAATATTTTATTTAGTCAGATTTTATTCTTTAGATTTTATTTAGATCTAGTAGTTTATCTATTTAGATTTTATTCAGTATTTTAGATTATAGGAGATATTATTTAGTTATTTAGTTATTTTAGATTATAGGAGATGTTATTTAGTTATCTAGTTATCTAGATTTTATCCATTATTTTAGATTGTATTTAGCATTATAAATATGACTAGCAACTTAGAAGCTATCATATCAGTTTATCAATAAAATAGTCTTTTAAACCCTTTGGAGATTCTCCTGAGCGTGGCTATTAAGAGAAATATAGAACGAGATTCTTGTTCTATATCATCCTAATAGAGTTATTCTTATTTTAGTTATTCTGAGCACCTATCAATTTGGCATCAGAGCCATGGTTACCACACGTACTGGCCAAGAAACCAACCTTTCTGACAATTCGTCCAACAATGACCCAGAAAATCCAAATTCACTTATGTCAGATCATTTGGCCAAAATCGCGCAACAACTCGAAACTCTTGATTTATTAAAAGAGAAGGTAGAAGCACTCGAAGCCTCAGCAATCAATAAAAACAACAAACCTGGAGAAGCACGCCGCAGGCACTATTATGAAGATGAAGAGAGCGAAGACGAGCAAGAAAATCGCAGGCGCACCAGATTTCATCGCACCAAAATTGAATTCCCAAAGTTTAGTGGAGGTAATCCACGGGGATGGATCTTAAAGGCTGAGAAGTACTTTAAGTATTACAACACACCTGAAGAAGAGAAGGTGGACGTAGCCTCACTGGCACTGGAGGGTGACGCACTAGAACTGTTCGCATGGATCAGTCATGAACGAACACTCAACTACTGGGACGAGCTCGTGACAGCATTCCAAGAGAATTTCGGACCACTTGAATACCAAAATCCGGATGAATTTCTTTGCAGCATTAGACAAGAAGGTTCAGTTCAGAAATATCGCACAGAGTTCGCCAAACGATCGTCGAGAGTCAAGAATTGGCCGGAGCACTGCTTGCTCGGCGTTTTTCTGAATGGGTTAAAAGAAGAATTACGATCAGATGTCAGAATCCATAAACCACGATCAGTTTACAGAGCAGTAAGTCTGGCTTTGGAGATCGAAAGCAAAACGCAGCTTACCCGGACGAGACCCAGCTTGATCCAGACCCAAACCCGCTATCCTAACCCGAGCACACCTGGGGCACGTGACCCAAAATACGCTGAAGTTACCTTCTCGACGTCTTCGCAGAGGACATCAACGCTATCGGGACCCAAATCAGCCAGCGTAGTGTCGACCAAAAACTCCTCCATGGATTTCAAACACCAACACAGGAGAGACAAGGGGCTGTGCTTCCGATGTGGTGACCTCTTTCGGCCTGGGCACCGCTGCCGGGGATCCTTCTCCCTCATGGAGATTACAGAGGAAGGCGATGAGGTTGCCCTTCCTCTTGAAGATGGTGAACCCGAGGAAATAAGGACAGAAGGGGCAGAAATTTCATTAAATGCTATACTGGGTAGCAACACAGGGTCAGCTATGAAACTTAAAGGCATGTTGCTTACAAGAGAAGTGCTATTATTAGTAGACAGTGGGTCTACTCATAATTTTATATCAGACTCATTGGTACAAGAACTGCGTCTTCCTACTCATTATATTTCTGCATTTGGAGTCCAAATTGGGGATAGCAGTATTGTACGGTGCAATCGAGTATGCAAAGATGTGAGAGTTAAGCGGGGCAGACGCATTGTCAAGACGTCCACAGCATGCAGATTTTTTCAATTGGCCGTACCTTTTGCTTCTGAGTTGGATAATCTCTCCCTTGAGTTGGCATCGAATCCCTTCACTAACGAAATAATGCAGGCTTTGCAGAAAGATCCGTCATCCCGACCTAGATTTCACCTGGTTAATCAAAAACTTTTCTATGACAACCGAGTAGTCATTCCTTATTCATCACAATTGCGACCAAAATTACTAGCAGAAGCCCATTCGACTACTATTGGGGGACATGGCGGCTTTCTTAAAACATTTAAATGCCTTTCGGAGAATTTCTATTGGCCCGCAATGAAAGCAGATGTGAAGGCCTATGTGCGACATTGTGCCACTTGTCAACAAAATAAGTACCAAACGTTAGCACCAACCGGACTTCTTCAACCTTTACCTATACCCTCGCAAATTTGGGAGGACGTTTCACTAGATTATATCACAGGTCTTCCAAAGTCTGGCAGTTTTGAGGTCATCTTAGTAGTAGTGGATCGGTTGAGTAAGTATGCCCATTTTCTTGCTCTCGCGCACCCTTACACTGCTAAGAAGGTGGCCACAATCTTTTGTGAGGAAATTATCCAACTACATGGGGTACCTCGCTCAATCATCTCTGATAGGGACCCTATCTTCATGAGTTCCTTCTGGCAAGAATTATTTAGATTGAGCCAGACTAAGTTAAAGATGAGTACTACCTACCATCCCCAAACAGATGGTCAAACAGAGGTAGTCAACCGCGGTTTGGAAGCCTATCTGCGATGTTTTGCACATGAGCAACCCAAGTCTTGGCACAAATTTCTTTGCTGGGCTGAATACTCGTACAACACAAGTCATCATACATCAACCAAACATTCTCCTTTCAAGTTGGTTTATGGGCGAGATCCTCCTCCCCTACTTCCTTATATAAAGGGTGAAACACCTGTGGCTGAACTAGAAGAACAACTAGAGACCAGAGATGCAATGCTCAAGCTTCTGAGGGACGATTTGCGCAAGGTTCAAGATCGAATGAAGGCTTATGCTGACAAGCATCGACGGGAAGTTGAGTATAATATTGGTGATGTTGTGTGGCTACGAGTACAGCCTTTTCGCCAACAATCGCTTACCAAGCGAAAGTTTGAAAAATTATCACCTCGCTTCTTTGGCCCGTACAAGATTCTTCGTAGGATTGGCAAAGTGGCTTATGAATTGGAACTTCCGGCAGAGGCTCGTATTCACCTTATCTTCCATGTCTCTCTTGTGCACCAAGCTACAGGGATAGATCCACCACTCACACCCGCCCCCTTACCGCTTTCTGCTGATTTTGAGTTACATGTAAAGCCTCACCGAATCTTAGATCACCGATGGACTCGTCATCAGTCGCTTGAACTGTTAGTAGAATGGCATGACCGACCTGTGGAAGAAGCCAGCTGGGAGGACTACGATCTCTTGCACACTCAATTTCCCTCCTTTCCACTTGAGGACAAGTTGAGTTTTCAAGGGGAGGGTAATGATAAGATTCCAGATAATATTCTCATGAAGACTTATCCAAGAAGAAAGCGTCAAAAGATAAATTCAGATTGATTTCATTGTTTATTTTGCTCCGTATTTGATATTTCTTTAGATTTAGTATTTTATTTAGTCAGATTTTATTCTTTAGATTTTATTTAGATCTAGTAGTTTATCTATTTAGATTTTATTCAGTATTTTAGATTATAGGAGATATTATTTAGTTATTTAGTTATTTTAGATTATAGGAGATGTTATTTAGTTATCTAGTTATCTAGATTTTATCCATTATTTTAGATTGTATTTAGCATTATAAATATGACTAGCAACTTAGAAGCTATCATATCAGTTTATCAATAAAATAGTCTTTTAAACCCTTTGGAGATTCTCCTGAGCGTGGCTATTAAGAGAAATATAGAACGAGATTCTTGTTCTATATCATCCTAATAGAGTTATTCTTATTTTAATTATTCTGAGCACCTATCACACAATCAAAGGGAAAGGCAAACCACAAGAAAGAGAAAACACCTGAAATTGAATTGAAATTATATCTGAATCTTGAAGGTATTCTGGACGACCACGTGAAAAAAAAAAAAAAGCAAACTTCCACTGGCAAAAGGACAATAGAATAATTACATCATCCATAGAAAAAAAAACCAAATTCATTCAACATAAAAGTTAAGAGGCCCCACACTAAAGTTAACATGGATCAAACTGATCATCCAGCAATCATTCTGGGACTAGAAAGATGAGGCGCACTCACACTTGTGTGATATCCTTTCAGAAAACCAAATTCGTTCAACATAAAACTTGAAAGCCCCACACCAAAGGGAACATGGATCAAACAGATCAGTCAAGCAGTACTTCTGAAACTAGAAAAATAATGCCCCCTCAAACTGTCCTTTCAGTTTTACATGTAACAGTAGCCAAAAGTACACTGTTATTTCCTGAATTAGCAGAGTAAAGACGACAAGAATCTGTGAGGTCGCTAAAAAAAAAAAGCAAAACTAAAAGGCAAAAAAAAAAAGAAAACAAAAAACAAAACAAGAACAGATCCGAAAACCCATTCATGTGTTGGCAATTCCGTTCATTATGACAAGCAAGCTTGGAGCACATTTGAGGACATGGATTGGAGTAGGGTCGTGGATCTGTGTTACACGAGCGCAAGACTTTGCCATGCGTCCAGAGGGTTGTATTCTGTTCAACAACAAAAAACAACAAGAAGCCACATCCCACTAGGTAGAGTTGATTATATGAATTGCATAATGCTATTATACTCTATTATCAACTAAGTTCTTAAGAATATTGTTAACCAAGAGGTCTCATTCAACAATTTGTATAAGTTTTCTTTTTAGTTTTCCGCTACCCCTCTTTATAGAACTCAAGGTTATCTGTTTCACTCTCCTTACCGATGCCTCCCACAACTTTCTCTATACATATCTAAAACATTTCAAACGATTTTCTATCATTTTTTCCTTAATAGATGCCATGTTTACTATTTCTTGTATATGCTCATATTGAATTTTATGTTTTCATGTATGCCCACACATTTATCTCAACATTCTCATCCCAGCTACTTCAACTTTATAATCTTATCGTCCCTTTAAAGCCTAACATTCACTATCATATGACATAGCTGATTTTGTAGCAGTTCGATAAAACTTTTGAGTTTGTTAGGTAACTTTCAATCACAAATAACTCATTTAACTTTTCTCCATTCAAACTATCTAGCTCGTATTCTATATGCAACATCTCTATCAATTTCACTAATTGCTTCCAAATATCTAAACTTCTTGATGCGTAGGAATAATTTGGATTGATAGAAATTTGAGAGAGATCGGGGAAAAGACGAGAGAAGAACATGAAGGTAGGAAGAGCAAAGAGGAATGAGAGATTAAAGAGAAGAGGCTGAGAGAAATTGAGAGGTAAAGGGGGTTTCTAAATGATACGTCCTTTCTGATCATAACCATCAAAATACAATCATCAGCCTATATATAGACCTTCGAGCCATCCCTTCCCAACAGCTATATTTAACTAACTAATATACTATAATTTATAAATAATCATATCCTAATTGCAAATTTATAACAATACCCCCCTCAAAGAGATCATTGCCCTCAAGGATTAGTGATGACAAACTGGGGAAACTGTCGTTGGAATTGATGCAAAGCTGTCCAAGATGCTTCCTCCTCTGGTAACTGCTTCCACTTGACCAAAATTTCAGTAATTATCCTCCTCCTTTTCTGACCAACTCTCTTCCGTAAAATGCATTTAGGTTCTAAAACTAGAGGTACCTCAGGCCAGTCGAGAGGTGGATGCCTCTGCTTGACTTTAGAATTAGGACACAGCTTCAATAGAGACACATGAAAGGGTATGTGTATTCTGGAATCTGGTGGTAGTTCTAACTTGCACGCCATTGCCCCAATTCTTTGAATCACCTTGTAAGGACCCAAATATGTAGGATCTAATTTTTTATACTCCTAGAAGCTGCAGAAAGTTGTCTGTAGGGCTGTAACTTTAAGAAAACCCATTGTCCCACTGCAAATTCACGATCAGATTTGTGTGAATCTGCCTTTTGCTTCATCATATTCGCAGCTCAATGAAGATGATGTTTGAGAATAGCTACCATGTCTTCTCTTGCTGTAAATGACCTGTCCACAGCATCTAGCACACTATTATGAGGTAAATAAGGAGAATGGAGAGGAGATTTCTGACCACATAGAAGCTTGTAGGGAGTAACCTTAGTTGCTGTGTGAAAAGTGGTATTATCCCACCATTCCACATGAGACAACCACTTACTCCACTGTTTGGGCTGTTCCCAACACATACATCAAAGGTAAGTTTCCAAACAACGATTAAGCACTTCAGATTGCCCATCCGTTTGAGGGTGATAAGCAGTGGAAAGAAGTTGCTTGACCCCCAAAACCTGCAAAAACTCTTTCCAAAACCTACTAACAAATCAAGGGTCATGATCACTAATAATTTCAGATGGTGCCCCATGTAATTTATAAACTTGATCCATAAAAATTTGGGCTAAAATAGAAGCTGAAAAGGGATGAGTAAGTGGTAAAAAGTCTGCATACTTACTCATACGATCAATTACTACCCAAATAGTGTCCTTACCAAAGGATTTAGGGAGTCCTTCAATGAAATCCACAATGATACTCTCCCATAGCTTGCTAGGAATAGGCAAAGGTTGTAATAATCCAGGGGCAACAACAGTCTCGTACTTACACCTAGCACATGTATCACACTGTTTATAAAACCAGAAATATCATTTATCATTTTTTTCCACCAAAATAAGGCTTTAACCCTCTGATATGTAGCCTGGATTCCTGAATGACCTCCTTGTAGGCTAGCATAGAGCCATTCTAATATTGCCGCCTCAAAAGAGGATCAGAACCTATCACTAGCTGCCCTTTTCACCTTAATAAGCTGCCATCCCAAGAAAAATGACCCCACACTCCATCATTTTCTTGAGTTTTCTTCCAGATTTCTGTAATAAGAGCATCCACATCTGAACTTCCCTTGATTTTCTCAAGCAACTTTGGTGACGATGTGTCTAAAAACCATCTACATTACTTGCTGTTCGGGTATTCTAGAGAGAGCATCTGCAACAGAATTTTCATTACCCTTCTTGTACTGAATCTCTTAGTCAAAGCCAGCTAATTTAGCAACCCAAAATAGCTAATTTAGCAACCCAAAACATCTGAAAGCTTGTCTTTAACTTCTGCCCAAGCAGATATTTCAGGCTTTGCTGATTTGACCGTATTATAAATTTCTGCCTTTCCAAGTATTGATGCTAATGAAGCATAGCCAAGACCACAGCCATCAATTCCTTTTCATATACCGAGAGCTTTTGATGCCTTTCAGCCAATCCCTTGCTAAAATAAGCAATTGGTTGACCTGATTGCATTAGAACAGCCCCTATTCCTACTACACACGCATCAGTTTCAACTATAAATTGTTTTGAAAAATCTAGAAGGGTGAGTATAGGTGCAGAAATAAGGATTTCCTTGAGTTTAGTAAAAGCTGCAGCAGCTGCATTTGACCACTCAAATCCATTCTTCTTAAGGAGGAGAGTTAGTGGTTTAGTTAAGACCCCATAGCCTTTGACAAACCTTCTATAGCATCCAGCCGGCCCCAAAAAAGCCCTCAATTGCTTAACATTTGTGGGTCTAGGCCATTCAGCCATTGCTTGAACCTTCTTGGGATCTGTCTGGACTTGTCCACCACCAATTAAATGACCTAAATACTCAACTTCACTTGCTGCAAAAGAATATTTGCTTTTTTTAATAAAAAACTAATGTTGTCACAAAATAGAAAATACTTCTTTGAGGTGCAACACATGATCATTGAGGTTAGAACTATAGATTAATACATCATTTAAAAAAAAAAACTGACACAAACTTCCTCAAATAAGGACAGAATATACTATTCATAGCCCCTTGAAAAGTTGCCAGAACATTAGTTAGACTAAATGGCATAACTAACCATTAATAATGCCCACTGTGTGTCTCAAAAGCAGCCTTTGAAACATCTTGAGGCACCATTCGGATTTGATGATAACCAGCTCTCAAGTCCAATTTTGTAAACCATTTTGCAACACTTAACTCATCAAAGAGGTCTTCCTCTAAGGAAATAGGGTATTGGTTCTTCATTGTCTTTTTATTCAATTCCCTATAATCTATACACATCCTCCCATACCATCATTCTTTTTGACTTAAAACAATTGGAGCAGAAAATGGACTAGAACTCTGTTGTATTACCCTAATTTGTAGTAATTCCTGACTAATCCTTCAATAATGTCTTTTTGAGCTGATGGATGTCTATAGGGCTTGAAATTTACAGGATTGGTGCCTTCTTGAAGGACAACAGAGTGATCATGCCCTTCACAAAAAGGTGGTAATCCCTTGGGTGCTTCAAAAAGATCAAAAAACCCTTGCAATGTAGAATTAATCTCCTCTGAAATTTCTGCACAGGTCTGTACAGCCAAAACTTCCATATTCTCAAGTCCCTTTGGTATTACTTGCAGCAAAAATACTTGGTTAGTGGAAAAATCCTTAATTTCCACCCTCTTTGGTTGCACTACTTGTAGGGTATTAGGAGGCATAGCTTGAAGCTTGCACATTTTACCTTCAAGCCAAAAAAGACATAGTTAGAGACTCATAATCCCAGAAAGCATTTTTAATACTTTTGAGCCATTTAAGCCCAAGAACTAAATCATAAATTTGCAGATGAAGAACTCTAAAATCAAAAGAAAATTCCAAGCACTGCATTCTCCATTTAAGTCCTTCCTAAATGCCATGCACTCTAAGCCTTCTTCCTTCAGCCACTGCCACCCACGTTTCATGAGTTCCATCAGGTTGCCATCCCAGCTTTCTTGCCACATTAGAGTCCAAAAAGTCATAAGTGCTACCACTATCGATTAAAATCTGGAGCTGCCTCTTTCCATAGTAACCTGTGAGCCTCATTGAAGAAACACTATCCACTCCACCAATGGCATGGAGAGAAATGAAAGATTTATCCTCATTTTCTTCTATCTTAATGGGCTCTTCGCTTTGATCATCTTCTTCAAAATTATTTTGAACTTCAATAAAATATAACTGCAACTTTTGTCTCTGCGGGCATTTGTGGTCTCGGGAGAATTTTTCATGGTAGTAAAAGCACAAGTTTCTGCTTCTATGTTCAGCCTCTTCTTCAGCCGAAAGGACTTTCGTATGAGTTCTGCTTGCTTTTTGACTGAGAGAAGCATTTTTTATTGATAAAGATGCTGGTTTTTCTTTCAAGTGGGCTCCACCATTTGTTAAAGTATTCTTATTGGACGCCCATGTGTTCTGGTTTGAAGGTAGGGTGGCCGAAGGTGTATCTGCCACGTACCCACCACTCTTACTTTGAGTCCTCTTCTCGATCTGTCTTTTAGTCATCAATTCTTCCATCCTGGCAAGTTTTTGAGCCTCTCTCAAGGTGTTAAGCTTAAAGAGACGAATAGGCCCCTCATATTAATCTCGAAGACCTGATAAGTATATGTCCACTAAATGCTCTTCTCGCAACTAAAGCTTGCATGAGATCATATTGAACTTGTCATTGTAGTCAGCCAAAGTTCCATGTTGCTTCAGGCGAGCTAAATCACTCATCAGTATCTCGTGCAAGAGCCCAAAGCGATCCTTAATCTCTTCCACATACTCATCCTAGGTTGGTCGCACGCCCTCCCATGTCTTATCGTACCCTTGATGCCATTGAAAGGCTCGTGGGTCAAAATGTATACTCGCAATCTTGATCTTGGACTCCTAGTGTCTCATCAAGCTTAAAGTACCTTTCACACTTCAAGAGCTAGCCGAGAGCATCTTCCCTAGTAAACCTTGGGAACTCCATTTTTGTAAATTAAGTGGGTCTCTTATATTCTCTGCATTCATACCCACCTCTGCGTCGATGATCCTCATGCTCATGATGACGATCAACGTTCTGTCTGTTTCGGTGGTTGCCCTCTCTTTCAACATCTCGCTCCGATACCAATAACTGGATTTGTTGGGAAAGCCCATCAACCAGGTCAGTTAAAACATCGATCTTGCCATTATTTTCCTCAATCTTGACTAAACAATCTTCCATTTGATGTCTGCTTTGTTTAATCTATCTTCAAGTCTTGACTATGGACTGTGATGATGAAAGAGAGAGACGCCAAGGAACGTCCGCTCTGATACCACTGATGCGTAGGAATAATTTGGATTGATAGAAATTAGAGAGAGATCAGGGAAAAGATGAGAGAAGAACAGGAAGGTAGGTAGCGCAGAGAGGAATGAGAGATTAAATAGAAGAGGTTGAGAGAAATTGAGAGGTAGAGGGGGTTGCTGAATGATACGTCTTTTCTAATCATAACCATCAAAATACAATCATTGGCCTATATATAGACCTTCGAGCCATCCCTTCCCAATGGCTCATCCCAATGGCTATATTTAACTAACTAATATACTAAACTTATAACTAATCATGTCCTAATTACAAATTTATAACACTTTTCCACTTGGGGCATGATCTAATCTCCCAATCTCTCTTCCAAAATACTAGTAACTTCCCTCTTATCTAGACATTCTGTTCATTAGTCAATAATTAATACGTGTAACAACTTCTGTTAAGTAACAGAAGCAGTATGTCCAGGGGTCACTAGCTATAAATACTCTGCCGATCCTTGACATAATCATGTTCTCGTGCGTGTTCTTTCCTTCATAACAATCTGTCCACAACGGAATACCTCCTAAGAAACTTTATCTGACAGCAATGTTTTTATTGTTAAATTCCATTATGTGTTGCTTAATCCTCAAGCTAGGGGAAGGAATGCAGCCTAATTGGAAGAGATTATTTAGATTCAGATTCTATATTTTGATTCTTGTGTTTGGATATTTTATACTTTTGATAGGATCAAGATAGGTAAAGAGAACTAAGGAAGAGAAGTCTCTATCAAATTATGAAATTAGAATCTAACTTCATAAATTAATAAAGAGAAGGAAAATATTTAATAGAAAATGAGTAAGGATCTTAAACTCACACAACTAATAAAGCCAAGGTGAATCTCCACAAATATAAATAAATCATTTTAATTCCAAATTATTTTTACATGCTATGAAGCTCAATATTTATAGATAGAAAAATAACTAATAACTCCTCAAAAGACTCCCATTAACCCATAACTTAGATAATGGAGAATAACTACCTGAAAAATAAATACAAATATAAAAGTATTAACTTCATCTACAAGTACCGTAACCATTTACTACTCCTAAACTTAAGGGCCACTCAACAACATAGAAAAATAACGTAAACATTATATAATAGAAAATGTCTAAACTAACTTCAAATAATATTTATTCATAATATATCCCTAACTTCCAAAAAAAAAAACCCATCATACCACAATAATCAGTACAGTATCAACTTTTAACTGTGTCTTCTATTTGTCTTCATTGCGCATATTAGTAACTACATTTAACCACCGTATATAGAAGTAAAGATGAATTTACAACACATACGTGCATGCATTTAGAAGTAAATAAATACCTTGGAAAATTCTTCATCAGGAACTCGCAACTTCTTCTGTATTCGCAATTTGACTTCAGCTAAGGTCTCACCCTCAGAAATCATCAAGAGAAATGGATCTCCAAGATTCTGAAAATGCTGCTTATCCTGTCATCCCCAAAAACCACCAAAATCACCCCATCAAAATGAAACAAAACAAATAAATTGCAGTAAATAAAGCAAAATATTATTAGGTGATCAGGTAAAAGCAGCAAAATATTAATATAAACTACTAACTAAGAATACCTGATTTTGAGTTGTGATGAAATGATAAACATGGATCAACCGATCATGAGGGCCAAGCTTTTTCTCTTCCTCAGGAATCTGCAGCACAGAGAAATAAAAATACAACTTCATAGCAAGAAGCTAAAAAGAAAAGGAATAGTGCTCCAAGGTCAAAAGGTAAAACCATATCATAACAAAGAGGTGCTAGTGAACTATGAAACATCTCCCCTCCTTCCCCACCCCCGTAAAAAAAAAAAAAATGGCAGTTTGGCATATTTCACTAATAAAGAGGTTTGACTAGTTACAGCGTATTGCCTAACAACTTGAGAGGTTAATGATTTAAAATCAAGCAATGTATAGTTGGGATCATTTTAGGGGTATGTTCATGTACTTACCCAGAACCATAAGTCAATAAATTCAATTTCATTCTCACGGATCAAATGAGTCTACAAGGATTAGCAGTTTGGACAATTTAATTTTAGTCATCAAATAAAATGTCCAGGTGATGGACATCAACAACAAAAATAGGGACAATTAGGGTAACATATCCGTTAGGTGGGTACTCTGCTAAATCCTACATTGATTTCCTCATTACTAATCATAGAACAAGATAAGCAGATCTAGTTTAAACCAGCAGAAGAATAATACTCCCTCCAATCCCTGTTATATGACACTTTCAACCATTTTATGCATCCTAAAAAAATAAGTTTTTTTCCTTAATATCATAAAAAATGAGATGTAATTTTATTTTTACCCTTAGCTTTAAATAATGATATAACTACATTAAATACCTCCATGTTAATCAAGAAAGGATAAAATTGAAAAAGTGATTTAATTATTACAAGGCATCCTACATTTTGGACTAAAAATTACTACTAGAAAGTGTCCTACAAATAGGACCAGAGGGAGTAAGTCGGTAGTATCAGGTATTAGATAGCTGTATTAAAAAAAGAATAGAAGAAAAACATGAAGGAGGGATTGAAAGGACAATAATAATAGTTGAATGCCACAGACAAATGATAATATAATGACAATCTTGCCATTAAAATTTAAAATGTTATCACCAGCCTTAGATAAAACCATCTTTAAATGTTAACCCAACAGTTCGAAAACAAAATACCAATCCTCTACAAGCACTCTCATATGCATAAACTTAAAAGTAAGTATACAGTAATAATTATTTTCTAGTACACTTTCTTCATCGATTTTTATTATCTCCTTTTCTTCCAAGTTTAATATTTCATGCAGACACACATGTAAGTTCATTTTTCTAGTACATCAAAAACTGAATGCACTCATCACAAAATTTCAAAAAATCATAGCAGTGTATAAAATTTTTTTTTACTAGAAGTTCAGTTTCACTATAACCCTATTTTTGACAGAAGCATAGATATGCCTAATGGCCGATTATAATATCAACCAATTCAAGTCATCATAAATAAATCCATCCATCCATCCAAACCACACATCAAATAGGCAAGCATTCAAAATAATCTGTGCGGATACAGACAACAGATATTTACCTCCTCAGCCCTTAATGTCCAATATTGATCATTAATAGTCTCAATCTTTTCGCTAAGAGGGAAAATCTGGTAGAGCATAAAATTATAATAGAAACTAATCAGCAATAGGAAGATCTTTTAAAAAAAATTATGCACTTTTATATTTTTATTAAAAGGTTATATAACTTTAGAATTAATTACATAATTGTTATAACTCAATTTATATAATTAGGTTATGTTTTCCAAATAACTTATATATATATATATGATCTTCATAAAAAATCAATAAAAAGTAAACAAAGTATTAAATAAAAATTTTATTTTTGCTTTTTTGGCTAAAAGTATTAATTCATTTTTTCTATAAATTTTAAAAGAGCTTTTGTTTTGGAAAAGTTAATAATTCATTTATAATTTAACCTTCAGGACTAATGCATTTAATCAATCAAACTATAAGGATTTAATTAAAACAAAAACTACAACAACCGAATTCAAAATCAAGGAAAACTAGAATGGTTTGCAGATTAATTTAAAAAAAAAAAATCTAACACAAATACTAGTTACAATGATTTAATATAATATTATTGCAATTCTAAAAAATAATGGACAATAAAACAGTTTATTGGTTTTTTCCTCCAAATCTCTAAAACTGGAAAAATTAGCATGAAGGGCGGATGATTTTGAAGGATTAATGAATTCTCCTCCCCTCCTTATAAGTAACATAAAAGGGGAAATTCTAAATCAAACATTCCAGCCCCTTCCCCCCTCCACTCTCCTGAATCCCAACATATCATGGGGGAATCAATCGCCTGAATGCTGGCTTTTAAGCAAATGCAAGAAGAGCACAAAACAATAACAATACCATACCCCCAAAACCTGTTCAAGGAAATTCTAATATTGTTAAGTAAAGGTATATTTTGAAAGAAAAAGGTAATGATTTAGCAATATCCAGCACCTTGTAAATTTTATGAGAAAAAACTTCAAGCAATCTAACTTCGGCATCTGGATGGGATAAATCAACCTGTTTCACAGTACACAAAATAATATATAAAAAAGACTTTACCTACAGAAACCAGAAATAATTAGATAATATCACAAAAGAATGCAATGCTAATGATAGAGTACTACATGACCCAAATAGTAGTGGGAGTGGGAGTGGGGGAGAGGTCTGACCAGGTCATTCAAAGTAGTAACATGTGTACTCTCAGGTAATTTCCAGTCATGTGTCGTGTTCCAGTACAAATAGAAGTACTGTAGAGAGACTAGAGACAGTAGGCACATTTTATGTATTTCACTACCTTTGTATTGGAGATTCCACTTGCTTTATAAGTTTTATGATAAACCTTCCCTTCTTCTTACTTTATATATCTTAGATCTTATCGTTTTGGTATCAGATCCAGAATCCATTGTGAGTATGGAGTGCCACCCACTTAGCCACCGTTCCTAATGAACCACCATTGAAAAATTTGCTGATGGGAGTTGTGTTTTCGCTGCATTGAGAAATTCCTCCCAACCACCATTGCAAAAGTCCCTCTTTTGCTTTGATGGAGTTCAAAAATTCCAATGATGGTGCTGATGACAGAGAAGAGGTTGATGAGCATGAAACTGAAAAAGGACCGGGTGATTTCACTTAGATATCTTTTCAAGAACTTACAACAAAGGAATAGGGCTCCACAATGAGTCCCACGCTATCTTGGATGAAGTTGATGCACAAAGATGCCCTAGGGAGAATTGTTCTCCATAGCAATAACACTTGCCCTTATCTATGCTACTATTTGTTCAACGTTCCACAAAGACGTTGGCTAGTTCAAGGTGTAGGAGACAATCGCAACGTTCATGGAAATGTTCAAAGGTAGCCATGTAACAATTACTCAAGCATCAGATACTCCTCACTAACGGAGTCAAATAACAGCCAATGTAGTCAAAGGCAAAAGACGAATTCAAACCACCATACCTATCAAATGCCAAGGCAAGAGGCGCTAAAAAAGACACATGCAAAGTGAAGTAGGCAATCACAATTAAAACAAAATGATATCTAAACTATATAAATAATATCTTATATAATCAAATAATATCTTAAATATGGAAGAAATTTCTTATCCCTTCTAATATTTTAAATTTTGATCTTCCTCTTTTATATTATAAGACATTTCTATCTTATATTTATCTTTTATATGTAAATATTAACGTACTTTAAATATAAAATTTCGCCCTAAATTTATAACATAAAATTAACCACTTAAAATGATAAAACTGTTATTCTGGCATAAATAGCATTCAACGAAGCTAAAAACAGAGATTTAAAGTGGGACACTAACACAGCAGCATATTAAAGGCTACACATTCCTTAGGGGGGGGAAAAAAAAGACTTAAAACACATTTTCAACAGACTCTGAAACTGATAGAGTACCAATTAAGAAGTCATGTGCCAGTGAATTTGTGGAATTTAATTATTCTGAATTTATTTTATTAATATTTATTTTTAGTGGTTAGTTTAAGTGCAGCACAAGTTTAGGAGCATGTGGAGTCTGTTAGGATTATTCATTGAGTTAAGTATTTTATTTTAAATACTTTTACTAAACATAGTCAAGTTTGTTAATTTACATCTCCTAAGTCATGCGTTAGTGGGTCTGAATTTTAGGGAGTCATGAATCATTTTTTAGCTATAAATATTGAGGTTCGAAGTATGCAAAAATCATCTGGAAATAAAATCAGTATTTTCTTTATTGGTGGAGATTCGCCTTGGATATATTAGTATAGTATATTAGTTATGAGTTTAAGATCCATGCTCATCTTCTACTAAGATTTCCCTTCGCCTTTATTAATTTGTGAAGATATATTTTGATTTCACAAAACTTCTCTTCCATTTTCTGGCTATACCTATTTTGGTTCTTGCCTGAAGCATGTTTTCGACCACTGACAATAGCAGTGAGAAATGAGAAACTTCTGTCATCCATAGTTAATAAAGACAAGAATAAGGAAGCATTCACAGTGAGCGTCAAAAGGCGTGTCATACAGATAAGTTAAACAAAAAGGCCAACTAGGGAACTGACAGAAGAAGAAAAAATACACACACACACACACACACATCAATATATGAAGAAGATGGAGAGTAATAATTTTGGAAATCCAGATTAATCATCACAAAGAGGGTGGAAGAGAGGAATGATCAAATAAACAAATAAAATACATCAAATCACAATGTTGGGTGACGCAGATGGGCAAACCCCATAATGTTATTAGTCTCTTATTTCTCTCTCCCTTTCATTAGTTATAATCACAACAAACCAACCAACCAAATTAGGGGCCTGCTTGCTTCAGCTTTTTTTATTGAAACATCACTTATGTTTTGGGGAAAAAAATCTATTGAGTTTTAATGATGTTTGTTTAAACTTCAGAAAATAATCAAAATCTGAAAAAAAAAAAAAAGATTTCTAATTATTTTAAAAAGCTACTTTGATGAGAGAGAATGTTTTAAAAAGGCGATATGCGAAAATATAATAAAATTTTAAATAATAAATAATAAATCATTTTTATAAAACAAGAATTAAAACAAAAAAAGATATCACAAAATTTAAGAATAACTAACTAATAATCACTTTTTTTATTATCGTAACCAAATATAAAATAATGTCTGGATTTTTATAAAATCTCTACAAAATAATCTCTTTTTATATAATCTTTAAACTATCTAAAAATCATTTTTTTTATCTTAAACAAACAGGTAGATGATCAATGCTCAGAAATCAACAAAGACAATCAAGCCATAGATAACAAAAGCAATAAAAAATAACATACATATTAAAGTGAGAAGATTGCTGCTTAAGACGTCAACATCTAAGAAAAAGATCCACTGGGCAAGAGCATATGCAGATATATAAAATGATGAGAACCATGACAACATCAAAGAATGATGGAAGCCACACAAGCAGATCTGAGATAGGGAGATTTGGGAACATCAACAAACTACAAACCTGAAAATAAACAGTGACACTGATTTAAGAACAACATGGCAGATTCAAGGACAATAAGAATAAGCTCATCTAGGAACAATGAGCAGGAGAGAGGAACGACCAGCAACTAGCAATTGCTTTGGCTTGAGAGATCCAGAGAGATAACGATGGGAACAAAAACCTTGGGGGGGGGGGGATGAGAGACCACGGCATTTCAGATTTAGGTGTCTCAACTTCTTTTCAAATTTAGAGTATAATTTACATAAAAATAATATATAAATATGAGCAGGAGGAATAATGAATATCAGTTTTTGGCAAGTGAGGGGAGAGAGTCCTTGAACCTATTGTGTTACCCGAAACCTAAACTCCTTCTGTCTCAACAGGTAGAAGCAAGGATTATACACTAGTTTATGAACGAAAGAGAAAACATGATAATAGCACCATCTTGCCTGATGCACTTCCAAAATCAAACCCGGTGGAAGTTCTTGAACCCAACCAAGTAGAACATGATGAGGGGGCTGTTGAGGTGGAGACAGGTGAAGAGATGATTGCAGATGATTTAGATCTACCAATTGCTGTAAGGAAGCAACCTAGATCTTGTACCCAACACCCTATACAGAAGTATGTGTGCTATAATGCTCTTTCTCCATGGTACAGCACATTTATTGCTAATGTTGACAGGGTGAAAATTCCCAATAACATACATGAAGCACTAAAGGTACCTGGATGGAGGAATGTAGTCTTGGAAGAAATGAAAGCCTTCAAGAAAAATGACACATGGGAAATTGTGGACCTACCTAAAGGGAAGAAAGTGGTTGGATGCAAGTGGGTGTTTACTCCCAAGGATGATGCCAATGGTAATCTAGACAAACTCAAAGCTAGATTGGTTGCAAGGGAATTTACACAAACTAATGGTTTGGATTATAAAGAAACGTTTGCCCCCGTAGCTAAATTAAACAATATCAGAGTGTTATTATCGATTGCAGTGAATCTTGATTGGCAGCTTCATCAATTAGACATTAAAATGCCTTCTTGAATGGAGAGTTGAAAGAGGAAGTATATTTGACTTTACCCCAGGATTTGGAGATGAGAAAGTTGGACAGGTTTGCAGACTCAAGAAATCACTCTATGGGTTGAAGCAATCCCCAAGAGCATGGTTTGATAGATTCTACAAAGTTTTGAAGACCAAAGGCTACAAGCAATGCCTTTCTAATCACACAATGTTTGTTAAAAATGAGAGTGGTAAGAGATGTATTCTTATCATATATGTTAACGATATAATCATTACAGGAGATTATGAGGAAGAAATCAGTAGAGTCAAGGCAGCTCTTGGAAGAGAATTTGAAGTTAAAGATCTCAGGAAACTAAAATATTTCCTGGGAATGGAAGTTGCACGGTCCAAGAAAGGGATCTATGTGTCTCAAAGAAAGTACATTCTGGATATTTTAACTGAAACTAGAATGCTGGGCTGTAAACCGATAGACACACCAATTATGGTGAAGAAGAGAAAGAAGACACTCAAAAAGGATGAACCCGATGAAAGGGAAGATGTCTCAGATGAGGAAGACGATGATGAAGAAGGAAATGATGAACTAGTTGACAAAGACAGGTACCAAAGACTGGTAGGAAAACTAATATATCTTTCTCACACTAGACCTGATATAGCCTTTGTAGTTAGTATAGCCAGTCAGTATATGTGTGATCCGAAGAAGAAGAAACACATGGAAGCAGCATACAGAGTTCTCAGATATCTAAAAGGGACTCCTAGAAGAGGATTGTTTTTTAAAAGGACAAAACAAAGAACTATAGAGATCTATACAGATGCAAATTGAGGAGGAACTCATGCAGATAGAAGACCCACCTCTGGTTATTGCTCATTTATATGGGGAAATTTGGTAACCTGGAAGAGTCAAAAACAAAAAGTGGCCTCCAAGAGTAGTGCTGAATCTGAACTGCGGGCCTTAACTCAAGGAATAACGAAAGAATTGTGGTTAAGGCGCATAACGGATGAAATACAGGTCAAGGTAGAATCCCCACTAAAGCTTTACTGTGACAACAAGGCAGCTATCAGTATGGCTTTGAATCCTGTACAGCATGAAAAATCCAAGCATGTGGAGATAGATAGGCATTTTATAAAGGAAAAAGTGGGAAGAAGGAACCATCTCTCATATATTTGCCAACCACACTGCAGGCTGCGGATGTTTTGACAAAAGGACTTCATGGGCCAGTTTTTAACAATTGTATAAGCAAGTTGGATATGACTGACATCTATGATCCAACTTAAGGGGGAGTATGGGGTAGAATTGTAATTATTGTAAATATTTAGTGTCCTTTATGAGGGGAATATTGGGTAGAATAGTCAAAGATATTGAGTTTATTGTTTTTATTCTCTTTCGATATCCTCGGCTCAGTATATGGGATCAGATTGATTCCTATGCTTGTATATAATTCTCAACTTGATGAATGAATAAGAAATAGCTGTCTGAACCACACTATATCTCATATTAGTGTTAGCTTCACCATAGTTTCACCAACATACTCTTATTGTAGCAGCCACCACGAACATGATTGTAATTAATTATTAAAATCCTCACATTTCAATTAGTAAATAAAGCATCAAACCATATTGTTTACTGCTTGTACAGTGGATTTTTCAGATAAACTGTTTTTCTAAATGTTGAAGACTGTACCCATTGAGCCTAACGCTCACTGACTCAGATTTATTGTTTTGTGATTCATTAGATATTGTACTCCAGAGATTAGGGAATTGAGTTGCATCTCCATAAACTACTTGGACCTTAAATCTTAGTATTATTCTACACTTGAACGAATGAAACATCAGAGCAATATACTCTGTTTAATAACTAAATATTTTTTAAAGTGACCAAATAAGTTGAATTGAAACCGTCACTTCCATAACTGACATAATTAACAGCTAACAAAATCGAAAAGAAAGTATAAAAAATGAAACATCAGAGCAATATACTCTGAATTATCACTAACTATTTTTAAAAGTGACCAAATAAGTTGAATTGTAATCTTCGCTTTCCTAATCGACATAGAACCCATTTGTTTGAGATTAAAAAATAAATTATTTTTATATAGTTTAGAGATTTTATGAAAAGAGATTAATTGTATAGATATTTTATAAAGAAAAACAAATATTATTTTATGTTTGGTTACAATAATAAAAAACTAATTATTAATTAGTTATTTTTAAATTTTATGATATCTTCCTTGATTTTTGTTTCATAAAACAAATATATTATTATATTATTTTAAAATTTTATAATACCTTCATGCATCTCACCTTGTTAAAATACTCTCTCCCATCTATTACATTAAATTTTTCATGAGTGGCTTCTTAAAATAATTAGAAATCGTATTCTAATTATTTCAAAATTTTAAGCAAGCATCATAAAAGCTCACTAAATATATTTTTTCCAAAAAAAAGTGATTTTTCATAAAATAAGCTAAAACAAATAGGCCCACAATTAACAACTAACAAAGTCTAGTAGAAAATATAAAAAGTGTGGGTTCAAAGGAAGATAAAACTGAAATGCTTATCTATATAGCATCAATTGGCTATGCTAAATTACCCAAGTATAAAAGATGAGAATTATAAAATTTGCATTCGTGAGCTCCATTTCAGCTTATGTTGCAGTGTATATGAAGAAAAATGCTGCAATGCTCTCCTTCATGCATAAATCCACCCCACCTAAAGAAGTAAAACTTAACTAAGCTCCTTACTACACGTAGCAATAGGAAAAGCCGTTGAAGAACACCTGCCACATAGAAAGTACCTTTTCTGATTGGGTATTTATAAAGAATTTGATTAACAATGGTCAAGCTGAACTGAGCATATCTACTCCACCCATATGGAAGTGTTGATGAATCCACAACATCCAGATACATCAACAAATGACCAGTAGCATTGTTCCCTTTTGGGAGTACAAGTATCCGCCTGTTCATTGCAATTTAATTACAATCAAAACCAACAGGCACGAACAGCTTAATTTAGCATTCATACACACTAATAGCCACATTAACAGCTAATAAACAATGGCAGATAGCAATTTACCAAGAAAGTAATATTGGAAGATATTAATCCACCCAAAAATAATACTGGCAAATATCAACATACCATTTGCAATCCCCAACATCTAAACTGTCAGAACAGAGTTTATTTGTAAGCCTGGAAAAATTGTAAACGGTCCAAGTTAATCTCCGTGCACTCATGTTTTCCGCTTGGACAACTACAAGGCGAAACATAAAGATGCGAAACCATTAAAATAAGTAACTCAACCGATTATACATACGATTAAACCATTTATAAAACAAAAGAGAAAGTTTTAGATCTTCTTAATTTTAAATGGACCGAATAAACAAGACAAGACCCCGAGAATATCTGCACAGAGTAATATCCACATTCCATCCCGAATAACAGCCTTAGCAACCCAAGCACTTCCGGAACATATGAAACATAGCCGGCCAACAGAAATACAACAAAATAAACATTGCTAAGTTGCCAAAAATAAAAGAACATAGCTAACTACTTGGTGTTCATTAAACCTAGCGCTCAATTCACACAAAGCATGGTTGGCCAAAACACTAAACCGACAGCCCTAAAAAATACGTATGATCTGATGACAGTAAGGAAGATCACTTTCGCGCTGGTATTATCATCATGCACAGTCAGCGACTGAACTTCCACATAGCAACCTCGAAGTGACATCCAGAAATCAGAAGCATTTACCATCCATCGGTTGAGGACCCTCTGGAAAGTCGGAGTACGGAACGAGCATCTCATCGTCCTCCTGCTGCTGTAGAAAACAAAGTCAAATGGGGAAACCCAATCCAGTGACCAAAAACCCAAATAACTAAGCAAAACATTGGCGAGTCAGGTAGAAATTATGGTCGCTTTCAAAGCAGAAAAGGCAACATGAACATCAAAACCGCTTCGATTATCTATTGCTCTGGAACTAAAGCAAACGCTACAGAAAGAGAGCCAAGAACAGAGGGGAGGAAAAAGGCATTTGTGATCACATCTCGTGGCGGAGGAGTCATCAGAGTCATTTGCTAGGCCGTTGAAGCGGTTCGAATCGAAGAATCCGGAACAGTCACAGTCAGCGAGAAAGGCGGGGTTGCAGGAAAGTGAAACACGATCAAATGCAGTAAACTGTAACCGGGAGGCGGAGTCTCGCCCAAGAAAGGCCAGTTTGGGAATTTCACCAAAAGATTAATAAAGGCAAGACTCAGGGTGAGCCCCGGAAAGCGTGTCCTTGGGACTTTCCGCGGTAAAAATTGAGCGTCAATTTTGTTAACCGCTGTGTCTTCACAGACAAGAAAAAAGGCGTCCGGGTGTCCCGCGGTTGCGTGCTCATCAATCTAAACTAAATCGGTAATTTAATATTACTTGTAATTTAATAATATATTGATGAGTAAATTTTGGCCAAAAAAGAAGTAAATCTAGGAAAAATTCTCGTCAAAGTAATTACAAATGCTAACGTTCGTTTTTTACCTGAACTTTTAACGTTCACATTTCTTAATTAATTAAATGAAATGTATTACCATGGCTTCACTTTATATTAGTATAGATATAGATTTTTCAGGTAAAAATTCAATAGCATGTATTTTGATTATCAATATTTTATTTTTTTTCTCAAAATTCAGCTAAATACAGGAGATTTAGATTCAATACTAATACTAATACTAATGCTAATGCTAATCAGGTTCAGTAAATTACATATAAAGATAAAGAATAATATAAATATACAATAATTTTGAAATTGTTAAATATACAATGCAAATATGTCATCTTTTTAATCAAATTTTGACTTCACTCACGAATTCTCTTTAATTATAGAAACTTCTTGAGCTTCAGGTTTATTTATGGAAGCTTATCTTGAAATTACTATCCCCATTTGAGAACATTGCTATGATGCTCAATTTCACCGTCAATGTTCAATTTTTCAATTTCAGGTCCCAATGGATCTCCTTTAAATGCCACATCTATTCAACAAACAAACACAATTCAACAACATCAAAATCAATAATTTAATAAAGCTAAACTTGTACATCAAATTATAATTTACTTAAGAGAATATAACCAAATAAATTCTTTATATTTAATAGGAATAACACTTAGGCCTCGGGGGATTAATTTAACAATAGTTAGATCCCAGAAAATTTTATTAAAAGACGAGTTGTAAGTGTTAATTTATAGATATCCCAATTGTAAGTCTTATGAGCATTTAAGAGGATGATTTTAAAAATAAAAAATTTAAATGTTGGATAAAAAAAAAACTGGATAACAAGCATAACACTGATGGAGAGAATTCATATGGGAACATTCTTTTTGTTTGTTTTCTTTCTAAATATTAGAAACTACATGATCTAATTGAAATTAAGAATGGAATACTCATTAAACTTCATATACGATCAATTCTTATCTCACTCTTGATATTTAATTCCAATCTAGGGGCTAAAAAATTCATTTCTACGGGGGGGAAACTAGCTAGATCAATCAAATGGAGCATTACTTTAAAATCCATAAACACGTAAAGGTCAAAATTATGAACCTGATGGATTTGAGAAAATCCAAAGAACGATGGCACAAGCAAAGAGCACAAAGGAATAATGTGCACTGCATTCTCAGCAAATCTAATGCGAGCCTTCTCCTTCTTCGTTAACTCTACCACAGGATCATATATTGGTAGATTGGTGTCATCTGTGGTCGATGAAGAAAATTTCAGCCCTCCAGGTGATTGATATGCTGTGAATTGCTTGAAATAGTCTTCGGAATATCGACTCCAACTTGCTGATCTATGCATTTTCTCTCAGTTTCCTAAATTGGATGAGAAAATAGAATGAAAATTGAGAAGTGAAATATGAAAGAGATAGGATTGGTAATTAAAGAAATTGGGCATGTGAAATTCTTTGAGATGGTTTATAACACAGAAAAACAGGTGTGCCGATGACGTAGCATTGAGCTCGGCAATCTTTGCTCTCATTCACATTCTTTTCAATTGGTTGAACGAATGACATTTTGTGCAGTCATATTTTTTTATGAAAAATATTTTATATGGCTTTTTTATCACATATTGTAATAACTAAATTGATAGTTTGATTTTTGAAAGAAACGTGTCGAGCCATATTGCAATTGATTCTAACATATTTCAAAAGCAAATAATTGATTAAAAGATCACACAATTTTACATTACATCATCCACTTCGACCAAAAGACATTACGATCATCCCCATAACTAATTATTGTTGGTACTAATAGGTAAAAATATAATATTAGTCATGTCCAAGGGTACTATTCTTAAGAGTTATTCTATCACATCGAATTGATCGCGGCGGCAGCTCCCCAAAATTAAACAGACTCTTTCTATAAAAAGTAGGGACACAAAACAACAAAAATTTACAGAATATACTTAGATAACTGTATAACTAGTATGATAGAAGAAGAGAGAAAGGCCGAGAGTACTAAGGCTTTAACTGAACCTATGACAAACATTGCCTTTTATAGGCAGATCTCATAATACTAGGTAATAAAATCAACTAATCACAATTAAAAAACAGTTCCAAATAATGTTGTTTAAATTATATGTTATAAAATAATAAACAAACTTAAATAATCATTAATATTATTAATTTATAATAATTCCTTTTGAAATACTCAAAAATATTTATAATATTCAACAATTATATCATCAATTATCTTTTTTATTAATGTTTTTAAAAATATAAGATTAAAGAACAATTTGACTTCTAAATCATAAATCCAAGAGTTTTTAGGATCTTAAATTTGATTTTTGCATTGCTTTTCTCAAAAAATGATGCAACATAGTCCCTATCATTAACATGAGTTAAATACTAGAACTCGATTATTAGTTAACTAAAATAACGATATAAAAGAAGCAAAAAATTATAGAAAATAATTAAAAAATTACAAAAAAAAATATAAAAAAATTGCAAATAAAGACTCCAAAAATTACAACAAAGAATCAAGAGAATATTTTCTTGTTCTTTTTCTGTCATTTCCTAGTCAACTAATAGTTAAAATTAACTTTTTTTCAACAGTAATTACATTATATTATTTTCAAAATTAATGGAGCATATTAAAAAAATGAATTTAGAATTTGAGACACTCATAGACTTATTATTATAAATCAAATTACCATTTAACCCATAAATATATGAAGGATGCTTACACTACCATTTGTAGAATTAGTTTTAATTTTAGTTTTTCTCTATTTTAAATGTTAAATGACTTTTTTGTTTATTAACTAAATAGTTTGCCAATGAAAAAATAGAATTTATTTTGGGGCTCCTTTTATGAATTTGGGAAATAAGGGGTATTAGGAAAATTGACAATAAAATTTAACTGAAATATATAAATAACATTTAGATCCTTTAAAATGTCATAATTCTCTAAAACCCTTATGCACCTTTCTAACATTAATAATTTTACATTAAATGACTAAATTGTCTCTTTTTAAAATAAAAAAATAAACAGGTTCATTTGGGAAGTTTTGCTTTTTTTATTCAATTTTTACAATTCATATAATAAAAATTGTGATTGCTTAAATAAAAATTATAACTGATTATTTTTAAAACTTGAACTTTAACGATAAGAGAAATTTTATATAAAAAATTATAATTTTTTTATCAATTTTTGTGATTTATAAAATAAAAGTTGTAATTAGAAAAATAGGATTAGACTTATTATTTTTATTTTAAACAATGAGTAATTTAATCATTTAACTCAAAATCATTAATATCACAAAGGTATTTAGAGATTTTAAAAAAATTACAGCATTTTAAGAAACTTAATTGTTATTTATATTTCAATAGGATCTTGTTGTCATTTTCTTGATTATTTATGACATATACAAATAACATGGTTTATTAAAATATTTATGG